ATGTATTTACAGACACAGTAAAAGTAAGGGGGACATGGTCGATAAATGAGGATTGTGTTGTGTGGGTCATATATGGGTTTCACATAAAACAGTATTTACCATATGTTTGGATAAGTTTTTAATAGTTTTTAGTTGTTAAATGGTAGAGACCCCACATACACCAGGTGGTTAGTGTAGTTTTATTTATTTTTTAACTTTAACTTGTTAATATTTTTGTTTAAATTCAAGTGTATAGTATAGCTTTGAGTATTAGGATATTATTCTGTTTGTCAAAGCTCTGTAAGGCTGTGACTCTTGAGGGTGATAAGAGCAGAGGTCTGACAGACAAAACAAACACCAAGGCCAAAAGTAATAAAGTGTTGAATCTTCCCAGTTTGTGGATACACATTTTTCTTTAACATTAAGGTATTTAGAGTATTTTGAATAGATTTAACAAAGTTTGTTTAGTTAACAATTCAGGTGGTTTTTCCAACACATTAGAAGGAATATGGTAATTTTCCAGAGGGAGTTTGTTTTAAAAAATTAGGAATAATGCCTTGGGGTTCAAATTAACCTTGCAATTAAGACTGCCAGTTTATACTTAATTATAATTGAGAATCATTTTAGAAGACACTAAAATGTCTGGCGGACCACAATTGGCCCACAGGCCTGGTTTTTAACACCTGCAGGTCTCCATGAGTTTTCATCTTGATAAACAATCATCAAAACACTTAAGTTTATTTGATCTTTATTTGATCTTTAGGATATAGGTTGTTGTTTTACCATAAGAGAATAATTAGTTAGTGAGGCCTGACTTGCACACAGAGGAGAGCAGACAGCAGCAGAATGCGCTTATCTGCTCTCCAAGGTCGGAGAGGAGAGTGTTTTGAAAACTCAAACTGATAAGTAAAGTTATATGGAGACCATTATTATTATTATTATATAGACTGAGGCTAAGCCCTGGCAGCGCAGACCCAGAGGACAGGCAGGGGGGGGGCAAATAACCCTTTTGCCAAAACATTGTTTCAGAAACGTGACCAACCCCTCCATGAGCAGGGATCACATCTCCGAGAGGGAGACACAGAGCGCCATCACGCCTTGGCCACGGGGGTCAAGCCAGAGGAGGGGTCTGAGTCCGGCGAATGCCAGGAGGAGCTCTAACCAAAAGTGCCGGGGGCACCCCGCCGCGAGGGTCGACGCCTCATCATGGGTCCAGCCCACCGCAGGTGGACCCCAGCTGCCCAGAGCCAAAGGGGACCAACGAGAAGGGTCTGAGGACCTTCTCCAACGCAAGGAGGCAGCGAAGAAGTGGGGGCGGCAGTGCCCGACTTCCAACGCAGAAGTGGAGCCGAAGCAGGAAGGCTTGCTCCCCAACGGCAGAAGGAAGGGACCACCTCGAGGGTCCCCACGACAAAACTTGGTCTGCCTTCTGACCAGGTGTTACACAGCTAGAAGCTCTGAGCCATGGGTCAGGTACATTGTTCCCCGCTTTTTCACGCAGCGGAGTCAGAGACTGGGACAATCGGCTGGTCTGACCTGGAGGCCGGGACGCCCACCCCGAGGATGGGGGGGGACTGAGAGAGGCTATCTCAGCATTGCGTCAAAACGGGCTTTTGAAACTGTTTTGTGTACGTTTCAGGATTAGCACAACTTAGCATTAGTTTGTGGTACACATACATGCTAGGGTTTTCAAGCATTGATAATCAGTACACTAACTCTGATGCTTCCACCCACTCTGACCCCATGTGGAAAGCACAGGAGGTCAGAAAAGTGAGAGGCATCCATGTTTAAGGTTAAGTGTTATCAGATCTAATGACAAAGCATTAGACCCAATAGATTGGCTTGGACTTGGAACCATCTTTGGACCAGGTCTATTTTAAATCCACATACTCAGGTTCTACTCTCAGGGAGAGAGAGAGTGCACCCAGCACTGCTGGAGTGTCTACTGTGCGGGCACAGCGTCGATTCTGGGAGAGGTGAGGGTCGGCTGATGACCCATCGGGTCCAGTAACGCCTCGTCTCCCCTGGGCAGACGTCTGTGACCCAGTCAGGTGATTCATCTAAGCAAGTATATAAGTGTGGGTTTTAATATTGTAATAAAGTTAGTTTACTATTGTGTGTGTCTGCTCAAATGTTCAGATTTTGTGTTAATTCATAATCATTGTGATTTCTATTATTATTTTAAGTTGATTAAGATAAACCAAGGTTTTATATTTATCAAGAGATAGGATTGTTATAGAAATATTTTAGTAAAGCAATCTGAATTAACACCAAATAGTTATGAGTGTAAGTTATTAACTAATAGTCAACTCTGGATTCAGATACAGACCATAATGCTCTGTTGGCTCAGGTCAGTGATAGATGGAGATTCAGATACAGGCCATAATGCTCTGTTGGCTCAGGTCAGTGATAGATGGAGATTCAGATACAGGCCATAATGCTCTGTTGGCTCAGGTCAGTGATAGATGGAGATTCAGATACAGGCCATAATGCTCTGTTGGCTCAGGTCAGTGATAGATGGAGACGTGCTGCATCATGTCTTTGACCTGGGTCATAGAACAATATGTTCAGTTCAAAAGCAGATTGTTACATATATCAGAGTTGTATCAGCGTTAGGAGGCGTAAAGAGAAGCCTTGAGCAACACATATCAATGTTGACTTCATTTATGTAATATCTAGAGTAGATATGTGTTTGTTTACTCTGGTCTATTTAATGTACAGTCATTTCCTCAATCGTGGCAGTCGATTTCGGACGGCTGCCCGGTGGTATTGGTATCGGTTCTGTTATTCATTGTAATTGTGCACATTTACTAATGAATAAACTCACACTTTGTTTGGAATTACAGCTCTGGGTTGTTTACATTATTTTACTCTTGTTATGTGCAGTAATTCTACAACAGCACATAATTGAGAAAAAGAGAAAACAAAAGCTGAAAACTTGTCTCTTTCTACCTGGTATTAGACCTGTGAATAACATCCATTTATTTTTGGACCAGATACAAAACACCAGTTCAAATGTGTCATATCAAGAGAAGAAAATAGAATCAGATTTATAGAATCAGATTTATAGAAACAGATTTATAGAAACAGATTTATAGAAACAGATTTATAGAAACAGATTTTTGAGTGAGTGTGGAGAGGACACTGCTCAGATGCAGAGAACAAAGCAATCAGAACAGGGAATGAGGAGGCGAGTCGTAACAAGTCTCCATCTTAAGTGTTTTTCTCTGGGTTCAGATCAGAAGGATGCTCCAGTCCTTCTCCTGTGATGAGGCATAAACCCTGATGGCAAAAACAGACCTCTTTGAACTATAAAAAAAAAAAGAATCTTGCCGTAACTACAGCAAAGGCTCGGAGAAGCAGCAACTTTGTAAACAAGACGCTCCCTCAAGTGCAGGTATATGCATCTGCAGGCGACAGCAGAGGATCATGGGAGAACTTCTATATGTGCAGAACTGGTGTCGGAGAATATACGATGTTTGAGTCATGACCAAAGTTACTCTATAACTAATAAATAAAAGGTTAGTTTTGCTCCAGAACACAAATTCAATCTCACTAATCCTGTTTAAAATACATTTGAATTCTTTTTGGTTCTCACTAGTTATAAACACCAACCCTCTCCTCATGATAATTGTTTACGATGGGAAAGAAAGGCAAGGAAAGTTTATTTGTAGAGCACAATTCATACACAAGGCAACTCAAAGTGCTGAACAAGACAAATGGATGGTGTTTAAATCATAAATAATCAGCATACAAAGAGCAAAAATCCCTCAGTTGTTTGCACAGATAAAAATAACTGTTTTTAACCTGGACTTGAACATGTTCAGAAAAGAAGCCTTCAAAGTAAATGAGCAGAGAAAGAGAAGAGGCAATAGAGAGAAGCAGGAGATTTCCCAGTGGGCCGGTTGTTCAATCTAATATGGGCCAAAGAAACATGATTAGGATGGAGAAGACAGGCCCCAGCACAGGCCCCAAGCCCCAGCCCAGGCCCCAGCCCCAGCCCCAGCCCAGGCCCCAGGCCCCAGGCCCCAGCCCCAGCCCCAGCCCAGGCCCCAGGCCCCAGCCCAGGCCCCAGCCCAGGCCCCAGCCCAGGCCCCAGCCCAGGCCCCAGCCCCAGCCCAGGCCCCAGGCCCCAGGCCCTAGCCCCAGCCCAGGCCCCAGGCCCCAGCCCAGGCCCCAGCCCAGGCCCCAGCCCAGGCCCCAGCCCAGGCCCCAGCCCAGGCCCCAGGCCCCAGCCCAGGCCCCAGCCCCAGCCCAGGCCCCAGGCCCCAGGCCCCAGCCCCAGCCCCAGCCCAGGCCCCAGGCCCCAGGCCCCAGCCCCAGCCCAGGCCCCAGGCCCCAGCCCAGGCCCCAGCCCAGGCCCCAGCCCAGGCCCCAGGCCCCAGCCCCAGCCCAGGCCCCAGGCCCCAGGCCCCAGGCCCCAGGCCCCAGCCCAGGCCCCAGCCCAGGCCCCAGCCCAGGCCCCAGGCCCCAGCCCAGGCCCCAGCCCCAGCCCAGGCCCCAGGCCCCAGGCCCCAGCCCAGGCCCCAGCCCAGGCCCCAGCCCAGGCCCCAGCCCAGGCCCCAGCCCAGGCCCCAGCCCAGGCCCCAGCAGTAACCACCGGCTCTAATCACATCGCTTTATTTGAATTTCCCAGAATCAATGGTTGTCTCAAAGAGTTTCACATGTGTCGTTTTGCAACAGCCAATTAGAAAGTCAACAATTAGAATGCATATGAAATACAACAATGAAACAGCTAAGAGTCATTGGTTCTTAGGAGAATGGGTGAACCAAAGTCCTTCGACATCGGGACGGGAAAACTCCCACTCCCAAGGATGGACTGAACCAGTTTAAAGTCTGTAGAAGCAAAGTACTGTAGGCTTTTGGACCGGCTTGGGTTGGGTGCGATATCAATGAATCTTGGAGGTTCTGGGAGTGCACACCATTTCTATCACATCTACCTGTAAGAAACATACGGTCGTTCTATTTCCCTTTACCGTACCTATTTCTCTGTACCAATGTACCACCGTACCACGGTACCAATGTACCACCGTACCACGGTACCAATGTACCACCGTACCACGGTACCAATGTACCACCGTACCACGGTACCAATGTACCACCGTACCACGGTACCAATGTACCACCGTACCACGGTACCAATGTACCACCGTACCAATGTACCAATGTACCACCGTACCACGGTACCAATGTACCACTGTACCACCGTACCAATGTACCACGGTACCAATGTAGCAATTTCCCTGTAATTGTACCAACTGTGCGACATACATGAGCATTATTCATGCCTCCTGAACATGTCAGGGCGAGGTGCTGCTGTCAGAAACATCCTTTCATTTCCAATGTTCCACTTCACCCTGATCAAGAGAATCAAAAGAAAAGCACCATTAATATTTACTTTAATGGAAGGACTTTGGATTCGTCACATCATCTGAGACACAAAGCTATTAATAGTTTTATTGATTGAATTCTTCCTAGTGCCTGGTGTCGAGTGGCACCATGACTGTGGCCATTGTGGACAACCAGACTCTTAGAAACCATTTATATTCAAATGATTGATTATGATTTAATTAGGCTTCTATGTGAACATGTTTAATCCGTTATATATATATTATGTATATATAATTATATATATATATATATATATATATATAATGTCCAGATGGTTTTAGGGCTGGACCACAGAGTGAAAGGGCCAACAAGTGCTAAGCATCATGGGAACTCCTTCCAGACTGTTGGAGACCATTTCAGGTCCTGTTGAAGCTCATCCAGAGAATGCCAAGAGTGAAGCAGCATCAGAGCAAAAGGAGCTACTTTGAAGAACCAGAATATAACACATATTTACACTTGGTTCATACTTTTTTACTACGAACATAATTCACATGAGTTCATCATAGGTTTGATGCCCTCAGTGTCAATCTACAGTTTTCATAATCATGAAAATAAAAAACTCTTTGAATGAGGAGGTGTCCAAACTTATGGTCTGTACCGTACATACAGTAAATGTGGGGGGAGAGAGAAAACTTGTTCCCATCAATGTCTGATCAGACCTGCAGCATATTGATGCTAAAACATATTTTCAGTCATTTCTATTGAATGTGTGCAGTCTGTCCTGTCGATATGAGGAAGTAATCATCTCCCACTGGACGCTGTGAGACTTGTTCACATTGAACACATGAGTGACGGACTCTCTGAATATACGTGATTAAGCACAACTACAACCTATAAAACATTTCATATTTACCGGTCATTTAAACACATGCTTTTTACTACTGAAATAGCTGATTTATGCTAATTCCTTTCTTCCAGGTGTGCTTATGCTTTACAGTACAATGCAGAACAAAGTCTGATCCAGCAGAACGGCTGCACAGAGCTGCAGAGATAACACTCATGGAGAATGATGAGTGTCGAGGGTTCAGGCTGCTCCTGCTGTAACTGTCAATGTCAACAGGCCTCTCTCTCATCATCAATATTTATCAGTCTGTACACAGAGGACAAGCCTTAACCTGCCACAGTGGGTCCATGACACGCCTGCTCAGCCATGACTTTGTGAGCTGTGGGTTTTATGGGTTTGTTTAAACTGCTAAGAAAAAAACTCTCCAGCAACATAAAGAAGATCATTTACTGTTTAAAGTTTTCTTCTATCCCGACACTAGGAGCAATGTTAATGATCTCCACTGTAGAAGCAGTGCTAATCATCTCCACACTAGGAGCAGTGCTAATCATACCGACAGTAGGAGCAGTGCTAATCATCCTGACAGTAGGAGCAGTGCTAATCATCCCGACAGTAGGAGCAGTGCTAATCATCCCGACAGTAGAAGCAGTGCTAATCATCCCGACAGTAGGAGCAGTGCTAATCATCCCGACAGTAGGAGCAGTGCTAATCATCCCGACAGTAGGAGCAGTGCTAATCATCCCGACAGTAGGAGCAGTGCTTATCATCCCGGCAGTAGGAGCAGTGCTTATCATCCCGGCAGTAGGAGCAGTGCTAATCATCCCGACAGTAGGAGCAGTGCTAATCATCCCGACAGTAGGAGCAGTGCTAATCATCCCGACAGTAGGAGCAGTGCTTATCATCCCGGCAGTAGGAGCAGTGCTTATCATCCCGGCAGTAGGAGCAGTGCTAATCATCCCGACAGTAGGAGCAGTGCTAATCATCCCGACAGTAGGAGCAGTGCTAATCATCCCGACAGTAGGAGCAGTGCTTATCATCCCGGCAGTAGGAGCAGTGCTTATCATCCCGGCAGTAGGAGCAGTGCTAATCATCCCGACAGTAGGAGCAGTGCTAATCATCCCGACAGTAGGAGCAGTGCTAATCATCCCGACAGTAGGAGCAGTGCTTATCATCCCGGCAGTAGGAGCAGTGCTTATCATCCCGGCAGTAGGAGCAGTGCTAATCATCCCGACAGTAGGAGCAGTGCTAATCATCCCGACAGTAGAAGCAGTGCTATTGTTCTGTGTATGCTGACAGTTCCAGAGGTGACCCTGGTATCACACCTGTCAGCCGTCTGACAGAGCAGATCTATTAGAATGTGTCTGTGTGCCCTAGTTCTCATTGAAATCAGGAACAGGCCTCACACACCATGAACAGGGACAGGGGAGCCTTCACCTCACACTCGGGACTCACTTCTCCAGAGAATGATAGTTTGTCCATTCTGTCAGACTGGCCACAGCTAGTGTCACCAGAAGCTTCCCCCCAAAACATGACAAAATATAAATATAATAAATGACTGTAATATTACTATAACATGGTGACAGTTCTGTCTCAGTACTGAGTATGAAGTAAACGCATAACAACATTTTATAGGGAGGAATTACTATGAATATTATTATTATGAATATTGTTTTGCATGTTGCAGTTAAACTATTTAGGGTAACTAAAGTTCCTTTCTTCATACGGCTTAGGGGAAGATGGGGAAAATGACTATTACATAATATGCTCCTGTTTGGTTCTATTGAATGAAAATTATCATCATTATACCAAAATTAAGAACAATGTCGGAGTGAATGTGTGCGGTGTCGGAGTGAATGGTCCTCATGTATGAAACTTGCGCAGAAAAGGGTGTATATTTTGGGTGAAAATTCAATTTACGCAAGATCCAACGTCGGATTTATGAACGTGTGAGATTTGCCCAGATCTGTGCGTACGCAGCTGCAGGTGTTCATAAATCCTGCGGTTGGAAACGAACATATTTATGAAAGTCACGCCTAGTATTATGCAGCAATCGCCTGTAAAACACCGTTTTTGCAACAGGTCAGCAGGAAGCCGGCCTAAAAAGACTGTTTGGAAGCCTCGTTTGTTTGTTCATGGTTATGTAAAAACAAATATATCTCATGGCACCTGCTCTGCATGCACTCCCAAGAGTGCGCAGCGGGTGGACAGGGCAGTGAGACATTTGGAGTGAGCAATACCATAGTCCAGGCTTACACAAATCTAATGAAAACATACATTGCTTTACCAGATGTGAGGAATACAAATGGCCGTGCGTAATTACGCAGCGCAGAGCCTGTCACAGCAATAGTTGCGTCACACATCCCTGTCGCGTAAAGTGTATTTGTATAGAGCCTTTCACTGTCCAGGATCACTAAGCACTTCACATTTTAAAAACATACAGATCAAAATAATACACACAGAAGTCAGATTTAAAATCATAGAAACAGAAGAGGCTCCTCATCATGATCTGTGATTTATTCAAAGTTTGCATGTTTCCAGAGAGTTAAGACTTTTTCTGATGCGCAAATTAAAATTCCGAAACATGATGCTCCATGAAAACGCAGCTTATAATTATGCCAAAGTGGGGACATGTTTATTGTTGTCCAAATCTTGAATTTCATGCGTGTTTAGGCGTGTTGTGTCGGAGTGGACGTGTGTGCGGTGTCGGAGTGGATGTGTGTGCGGTGTCGGAGTGGGTGTGTGTGCGGTGTCGGAGTGGGTGTGTGCGGTGTCGGAGTGGATGTGTGCGGTGTCGGAGTGGATGTGTGTGTTGTCGGAGTGGATGTGTGCGGTGTCGGAGTGGATGTGTGTGCGGTGTCGGAGTGGGTGTGTGTGCGGTGTCGGAGTGGGTGTGTGCGGTGTCGGAGTGGATGTGTGCGGTGTCGGAGTGGATGTGTGTGCGGTGTCGGAGTGGGTGTGTGTGCGGTGTCGGAGTGGGTGTGTGCGGTGTCGGAGTGGATGTGTGCGGTGTCGGAGTGGATGTGTGTGTTGTCGGAGTGGATGTGTGTGTTGTCGGAGTGGATGTGTGTGCGGTGTCGGAGTGGGTGTGTGCGGTGTCGGAGTGGATGTGTGCGGTGTCGGAGTGGATGTGTGTGCGGTGTCGGAGTGGGTGTGTGTGCGGTGTCGGAGTGGGTGTGTGCGGTGTCGGAGTGGATGTGTGCGGTGTCGGAGTGGATGTGTGTGCGGTGTCGGAGTGGATGTGTGCGGTGTCGGAGTGGATGTGTGCGGTGTCGGAGTGGGGGTGTGTGTCGAGGGTGTGTGGTGTCGGAGTGGATGTGTGTGTTGTCGGAGGGGATGTGTGTGTTGTCGGAGTGGATGTGTGTGTTGTCGGAGTGGATGTGTGTGTTGTCGGAGTGGATGTGTGTGTTGTCGGAGTGGATGTGTGTGTTGTCGGAGTGGATGTGTGTGTGTCGGAGTGGATGTGTGTGTTGTCGGAGTGGATGTGTGTGTTGTCGGAGTGGATGTGTGTGTTGTCGGAGTGGATGTGTGTGTTGTCGGAGTGGATGTGTGTGTTGTCGGAGTGGATGTGTGTGTTGTCGGAGTGGATGTGTGTGTTGTCGGAGTGGATGTGTGTGTTGTCGGAGTGGATGTGTGTGTTGTCGGAGTGGATGTGTGTGTTGTCGGAGTGGATGTGTGTGTTGTCGGAGTGGATGTGTGTGTTGTCGGAGTGGATGTGTGTGTTGTCGGGTGGATGTGTGTGTTGTCGGAGTGGATGTGTGTGTTGTCGGAGTGGATGTGTGTGTGTTGTCGGAGTGGATGTGTGTGTTGTCGGAGTGGATGTGTGTGTTGTCGGAGTGGATGTGTGTGTTGTCGGAGTGGATGTGTGTGTTGTGTGTGTGTGTGTCGGAGTGGATGTGTGTGTTGTCGGAGTGGATGTGTGTGTGTTGTCGGAGTGGATGTGTGTGCGTTGTCGGAGTGGATGTGTGCGGTGTCGGAGTGGATGTGTGTGTTGTCGGAGTGGATGTGTGTGTTGTCGGAGTGGATGTGTGTGTTGTCGGAGTGGATGTGTGTGTTGTCGGAGTGGATGTGTGTGTGTTGTCGGAGTGGATGTGTGCGTGTGTGTTGTCGGAGTGGATGTGTGTGTTGTCGGAGTGGTGTGTGTGTTGTCGGAGTGGATGTGTGTGTTGTCGGAGTGGATGTGTGCGGTGTCGGAGTGGATGTGTGTGTTGTCGGAGTGGATGTGTGTGCGGTGTCGGAGTGGATGTGTGTGTTGTCGGAGGGGATGTGTGTGTTGTCGGAGTGGATGTGTGTGTTGTCGGAGTGGATGTGTGTGTTGTCGGAGTGGATGTGTGTGTTGTCGGAGTGGATGTGTGTGTTGTCGGAGGGGATGTGTGTGGTGTCGGAGTGGATGTGTGTGTTGTCGGAGGGATGTGTGTGTTGTCGGAGTGGATGTGTGTGTTGTCGGAGTGGATGTGTGCGGTGTCGGAGTGGATGTGTGTGTTGTCGGAGTGGATGTGTGTGTTGTCGGAGTGGATGTGTGTGTTGTCGGAGTGGATGTGTGCGGTGTCGGAGTGGATGTGTGTGTTGTCGGAGTGGATGTGTGCGGTGTCGGAGTGGATGTGTGTGTTGTCGGAGTGGATGTGTGTGTTGTCGGAGTGGATGTGTGTGTTGTCGGAGTGGATGTGTGCGGTGTCGGAGTGGATGTGTGTGTTGTCGGAGTGGATGTGTGTGCGGTGTCGGAGTGGATGTGTGTGTTGTCGGAGGGATGTGTGTGTTGTCGGAGTGTGTCGGAGTGGATGTGTGTGTTGTCGGAGTGGATGTGTGTGTTGTCGGAGTGGATGTGTGTGTTGTCGGAGTGGATGTGTGGTGTCGGAGTGGATGTGTGTGTTGTCGGAGGGATGTGTGCGGTGTCGGAGTGGATGTGTGTGTTGTCGGAGTGGATGTGTGTGTTGTCGGAGTGGATGTGTGTGTTGTCGGAGTGGATGTGTGCGGTGTCGGAGTGGATGTGTGTGTTGTCGGAGTGGATGTGTGTGCGGTGTCGGAGTGGATGTGTGTGTTGTCGGAGGGGATGTGTGCGGTGTCGGAGTGGATGTGTGTGTTGTCGGAGTGGATGTGTGTGTTGTCGGAGTGGATGTGTGCGGTGTCGGAGTGGATGTGTGCGTTGTCGGAGTGGATGTGTGCGGTGTCGGAGTGGATGTGTGCGGTGTCGGAGTGGATGTGTGCGGTGTCGGAGTGGATGTGTGTGTTGTCGGAGGGGATGTGTGCGGTGTCGGAGTGGATGTGTGTGTTGTCGGAGTGGATGTGTGTGTTGTCGGAGGGGATGGGGGCTGCTGCCTCCGTGTGCAGGAAAGAGCTGGGAGTGCTGCACCAATGAGCAGATGTCAGGGAGAATAAATTGGCTGCTGGACGTTTGGCAGACACCTGTTCAATCCCGCCTGTTGGAGACATCAGACAAGACTCTGCACCACTGCTACATTTGCAGACAGTCACAAATCTTCAGCAGCAAGACGGAGGAATTTTGCAATCAGTGGAGGCTAGGGTTGAATATAAACAGTATTCAGGGGCTGTGTCTGTGGAAGTGCAGACCCAGCATCGACCACATCTGTGCTGTAGACTTTACGGTCTCTGCTAAACTATGGATATAACGTTAACAAAAATAAATATGAAATAATGTGTTAATAAAAAGTTGTACATTGGGACTCGTTTGTGTAACCCCCAATGTTCTGCCTTTCTTTGGGGGTTTAATAACTACAAGCTTTTGTCATGGTGTGGATTTTATTATTGCACTTTTATTTTATTTTGAAATTAGTTCTCTGTGGTTTGGTTTTACTTCCTGTCCTGTTCCTCTGTTGATTGTCTGCCCTGCCCTGATGTGTTTCACCAGTACCTGTGTCTATATGTACCTGTGTCCATATGTACCGGTGTCTGTCTGTACCTTTGTCTATATGTACCGGTGTCTGTCTGTACCTGTGTATTTGTACCTGTGTCTATATGTACCTATGTCTATGCCTCATATGTACCGGTGTCTGTCTGTACCTTTGTCTATATGTACCGGTGTCCGTATGAACCAGTGTCTGTCTGTACCTGTGTATTTGTACCTGTGTCTATATGTACCTATGTCTATGCCTCATATGTACCGGTGTCTGTCTGTACCTTTGTCTATATGTACCGGTGTCTATATGTACCGGTGTCTATATGTACCGGTGTCTGTCTGTACCTGTGTCTATATGTACCTATGTTTATGCCTCATATGTACCGGTGTCTGTCTGTACCTTTGTCTATATGTACCGGTGTCCGTATGAACCAGTGTCTGTCTGTACCTGTGTATTTGTACCTGTGTCTATATGTACCTGTGTCCATATGTCTCTGTGTCTATATGTACCTGTATATATGTACCTGTGTCCATATGTACCTGTGCTCCTCTCCTCTTGTTGCTTGTTCATGTTTTTGTACCTGGTTCCGTTTTTGGATTTTTGAATATTTGTTTTACTTTTGGACTTTTGTTTTTTCATCATTTATTTTGTTTAATTCCTGCATTTTGATTCCTCCATCATCTCACTTCATGACTGTAGTTAATAACACTAGTGGTGCACACTGGGGTTGTCTTGCACAGTTTTTCTAATGTGGTTTTACTGCAAATGGCAAATAAATGAATCTGAACATGACATCAGTAGTAAGTAGTTAATACAGAAGCACAGACAGTCCCATCATGAGTCAGTGGTTGTCAGTGGTTGTCAGTGGTTGGGACCAGACCTCATGTTCTGCTGTCAGGACTGGACCCATTACCGCCCGCCACAGCTGCCCTTCATCTGTGTGCGCCGCTGCAGCTCCATGAATAATGCACTTCTGTCAGGCAGTGGCATCACACTCTGTTCTAAATGCTCTGCCCACTTTCAAAGTCAGATATGAGCGATCAATTATTTATTCTGTTGTTTTGGTTTCTACTCCACGCCACGGTGAGCGCTCCACGCCACTGTGAGCGCTCCACGCCACTGTGAGCGCTCCACGCCACTGTGAGCGCTCCACGCCACGGTGAGCGCTCCACCGCAGAGTGCATGGATTGTTTTTAATTTGTGGTTCATTGGAAAATTGATGCCGAGAAAATGTGTTGATCTGATTGTTTTCTGTTGTACAATTGAAAAACATTCATACAAAATACATAGACATTTCTTCCCCTTAATCCATTTCTGGGTTGGGGGTGGCAGTCAACGCACCAGCCCCTCACTCCTCCTCCTGGTGGTGGTGGGAGGAGTCGATGGCACAGACTGGTTGCTGTGAATGATGTGGAGAGACTTTGAGATTCCAAAAAAAGCGCTGTATAAAACTGAAGCATTATTATTATTATTATGCTCATTATTAGCCATGATTGATCCATTAGTTGGGCTCTGACCCATCACACGGCGGCAGATGCTCGCTGCTCATCCGTCTCACTTGCACTATGATCTGTGCCGTTAGTGCCTGGCTCCAGCCTCATCACATCTGCAATAATCCATTATGAATTAGTCCACTTTCCTATCTGTATAATTTATAGCTTCAATCACACAGGGACCAGAGCAGATTAAGTTGTCAGTTTCAACATGTTTGTTTTGCTGTAAGAGTGAAAAGTCTTTATTAGAGAGAACTCTCCACTCAGCTGTCATCTCAGAAGTGTTGGATTTTTCATTATGTTCCACTGCAGGCAGTTGTAATATGTCACAGTTACATAATTGGATTACATTTGGAGCTGCAAGTTTTTGCTTTTGTTCAGTAATATCTAAATTAATAAGGTAATGGTATGTCAAAGTTGTTTTAACAGAAGGTTTAGAGCTTTGTCCTGTCTGACAAGTTTGATGCAATAAAGTTTGTTGGAAATATGCTGAAAGCCAATATTGGCAGATTAAATTCAATCAAAAATAAGTGAGAATAAGCAGAGTCTCACAGCACCAGTCCCTCTGATCCTCTGCAGGGGGTGGGTCCACAGGAACATGGCTGCTCTGTCAACAGTCCCACAGCCTTAATCTTATTCTGCGGGGGGCAGGCAACGTGGGGTTAAGTGTCTTGCCCAAGGACACAACGACAGCAGACATGAGTGGGAGCAATGGGAGTAGGTCTCGTGGGGGTATCGAACCCACGACCTTCAGGCCCAAAGGCCAATGCTAACTTTGCCACCGTCGCCCTACAGTATGTTGACATTTTGTTTTTTATAAAATAATGAAGAATAATGGACTGACGTTATCAAACCCTAACCCAGAGAATAACTGGAAACACTACTTACATTAATATCTGTAAAAATTAATGGAATTGCACCATTTACTGCATTCATGGGAAAAATAGGGACAAAAAACATGTCTGGCATCCGGCCGCTCAGATAAAAATGATTTAAAGATTTAAATTCTGTCAAAATGGGATTGGATGAAAATTATCCCAATATTTCTGAAGAGACATTTCTAAATCCATCCAGATCAGAGTGTGAACAATAAGGTCACAAACTTAAGAGTGAGATTAATTTGCTCCTTTTCACAACACTTTCCATGATTCCTTGATCCTCAGTTCTCGGGAAGGTACTTCAAAAAGACGGCGAGAGGGGTGAGGGCTAAACCGTGCTTCTCCAACTGCTGGGAGAATATTCTGAGGAGAATATTTCACCAAATATCACTGTTTCTCTGTGGTCTCAGGGAATGATCGCTGCTATGGTTTCCTTCAGTTCCACCTCATGTTGTATTCTGTCTGTCTTCTTCTTTTGTCTCTTAGATTCACTCTGTAATCTATGTACCATACCTCGCCCTTTGCTATAAGACCCTCTGCAGTGCACACCTGAGGCAGAGGCTTTGTTCCACAGTCAGGGATATCTGGAGGTAAAAACAACTGTGACAGCCATGCCAGGGTCAGGGCACCAGCTGCACAGGACCAAATGTGGCAAAGTCTGGCAGTAATCCAGGGGTTATAGCAAAAAAAAAAAATTTGACTGAACATTTTTGCATGGAAATTTATCACATGTAAATCACAGTAATATGCAAGACCACGTTATATTTTTAATTACAATATATTATTGTATATTGCAGCCATTCCCAAACTCAGTAACATCGAGGCCCCCTAAAAAATCTGACGGGTCTGCGTGGCCCCCCAAAATAATAACCAAGAAGACAACATTAAGAATAGGCTCTTCTGGTTATTTTATTTTGGGGAAATAGCCTCCGCTACAAACATTGTAATACAAAAATGATTACAGTGGATTATTCAAGTCAAATAATGAACACAAATATTTTAATATTACAAACAAAACATAAATTTAACATTAAATAATTATATTATTATTTTAATTTTTTTTATGACCTCCCGCGGCCCCCCTGCAGTACCCACTTTGGGAGACACTGGTATATTGAATACAGCTCAAATGAATTCTTCAAAGATATACAGTGTATTTTGATATATAAGTGGATCAAGCAACGAGTCAACTTTTTGACAGAATATTAGTGAGAGGAGCTTTACTTGAGGCGATATGGAGCGTCAACACTTTGGCTCTGTCCTCGTCAAAATATCGCAAAAGGACGATAAAATTCTGTCCACATTTGTTTGTGGACACGTCAATATTTAAGAAAAAGGTTTCCCTATCAAGTTTGAGTGCACAGTGCACTTCGATCAACTGCAAATGATTTAAATAAATCTACCAGCGATAGTGATATTCTGAACGTTATTTTCTGCGATAAAGCCACAGACACGGTCCGCCAGAGCAAGATAGTGTCAGTTGTTGCTGATGCACCAGGTAAAGATGAAGTGTGGGAAAGTGCACAAACAGCTGCCTTGTGCGCAGTTTTGAGCTGGTGGCGAATCAAAACTTTTTTCTCATTACTCCCATACATGCAATTTTTTATGGCAAAGTACGCACAAGCACCGGCCACTTTCATCTTTTCGCACCATGACTCATTGATTGGCTCTTTTACATCACGCTGAGTTTTGCAAGAAGATCGCAAACAAGACAATATCAAAAGCTCACCAAGACATGTTTGTCCCCATTCCCAGTCGCAGCAAAGTCCGTTTTGTACATTCCGTTAAGTAAATAGCATTGCGTTTGGTAAACGTTAATTACCTTTCCTCTATTACGCGCCCAGCTTACCAGTCCGCGGATCTGCTGCTGTTATTGCTCCGTTCGAGATTCAATTTTCCTCCTCTTCTCCTTTTCAAAAGCTCCGTGCAGTTTCCAGAAACTTTCACCTCCGTGTTACCAATGCTAACTTCATCGCGTCTTCATTTGCGCGTGAGCTCAGCTACGTCCCATTGCCTTGATTCATTTGCGGAGCGCTCATGTGGCCACGGCACGTTCAAGGCCCACTCGTCATTATATTACTTATTATTTCTATATACATATAAATACAATTATATTCAAATTATTATTAT